GTGGGGATGGGCCGATGTATATCATTTCCTATTGTCCTGACAGTAAAAAGTCATTTTTTAGAAATGAAAGAGAAAGTGCCACAGCTAAAGTCATGATGATGATGCACACTGCCAGTCAGCTCTCTGAAAGGAGGCAGCAAAGGAGAGATAATACAGACAAATTATTTTGTTTGTGAATTAGTATGGTCACAAATAACACAAATAGTGGAAATTAAGTGAGTAATATTCAGTAAATTACATTCAACATTCTGATGAGACCGATATGTCATATCAAAAGTACCTCTTGAAAACAACATCCTTCAAGCAGGCATTAAACATACTTTTTTATTAAGTCCACATTTCTATTAATTTTTTTTTTTATTGTTACAGTGCAATATCGTAATTTCAAACTAATGGCTGTAAGTGGAAAAATCATTATTATAAACAAAAATAAAAGCTATCAAACACCCATCTGCGTATAATTAATCTATGTTATATGTTTCACTGAGTGATCAAGCTCCTAAAATAAATAGACTTTTCAAAAATAATTTAATCTATTGAACAGGCCTCTCTATCGCATCAGCATATTTACTAAGGTTCCACAACGTTTATTGAATTTAAAGGATAGTTTTATTTTTAATGTAATAATTAATGTGCTATTTGTTTTTAATGGGAATAATTGCTGCTGCTTGCCTGCTTAATATCATACAATAAGGACCTCATGCCAGTCTCGTCCTACTACAGAGGCTCATTGCAGTCATTTATAACTTGGATTGCATTCTGGGAAACAGTGTTTTCTGCCTTTGTGACAAAACACAAAGTCAAAATATGAAAACATCTGGATTATCACCTGAATAAATAGTTAATTTGTGAGCATGCTAACAAATTACAACTGCTTATTTATTACTTTAAGCACCAATCTTTCTTTCTAAATGTACCTATAGTTAATCAAATGTCTACAACAACATAAGGATTATTTGCTCGCATTGGTTCTACGGAGAACATCTGTACCTAATAAGCAGAGAGACGCCTAGCACCTGTTATTTGCAGCCTGCGCGCAAACCTCCTCTGAAGCATGAAGGACAAAGCGGCAGCCTCCTCTATGAATCAGGCGTTTGGTGTTTGGACGGCAAGATGTATCGGCGCTGACCTCCACACTGACAGGGGTCACTGAGCTGCATGTGCAACGTTCTCCTGTTGCCATATTTGAGCGATACTCTCTGGTAAAATGAATGCTGTACACCTCTGCATATCCAAACAGGGACTATTATTTTAGGGGAGAAGTGCGCAACGGCAGCCAGGTGTAGACTTTTGTGGGGATTATCAGGCAGCTTTTGAAATACAATCTGCAACCTTTCTGGGAAATTATTAAAGTTGATTATATAAAAGCAACTTCTTTGAGCTTTAAGTCATGTCATAATGTTATTCCCTCATCAAAAACATACCTGGAGTGTTGCTTTGATTCTTTTATGCATGTTTGAGAAGTCTTTTAATCTCCCATAGCAAAACGCCTGGTTGGACTGAGCGCCGCCTTCAAGATACAGCTCCTCCTCAGAGTTGCAGTTTCCAAGCTTCCAATCTTTCGCCTCACAGAGCATCCCTCCCCCACGACTCAGCTCCTTCAGACTAGCCGGCAGCAATTAGCAAACACCTGCTGGAAATGTGCATCTGCTGAGCTCTATGTACAAGCTACTTCTCAGGAAAATGCTGGTAAAAATGTTTTTTAAAGGTTCGTAGAGGAGCAATGTTGGGATGGCTTCTTGAAGGCGGAGTTTCAGACAGAGCAGGAGTTTTTAAAGAGGCAGAGGCCCAATTTCAAGGCATTAAATTACAAAAGAAATGTATATATACATATAACAAGCTTTTGTTATTTATATATAGTTGCTGCTCACTGCCAGTCAATAGGCTGAAGGATGGCTCCTGAACTTTTCCCTTCCTAACAGCAACACAGTTCTGAGATATTTCTGGTCGCAAAATACACAAACAATCCTGGTGAGGTACAAGAGGCACATGTATGAGGCTGTCGACTGCAGTCTGTCTACCTCACTGAGAAGCCCAATTAATTATCTAGCTAACATCAGCTTGTTATGCTTCTGTCACTCTATGGAAAATGTTTTTGTGTGTGTGTGTGTATACGTCTAATTTTAGCAGGTCTTAATTACAGCTTTCAGCTTCAGTCGTCAATAAATCCAAGTAACATATGTATGTTATAGAGATCACAGTTATCAGTAATAATCAAATGGTAACGCCACCTAGGGAACAATTGTTGTTTTCTGTTTTAAATAAAAACTATGTTTTACATTTTGTTCTTGTTTGAGTAGAACATATGAGTGTTTTTGGTTGAATGTAGCAGTGGGGCATGTTCCCCCTCCCCCATGGTGAGCTCATATCTCCAAAGATTTACCTCGTTTAAAGAAAAATCCGAGTGGCTGATATTTCAACTGTTGACACGACTCCATCTTGTAAAACATTCTTGAACACATGCGAGCGACAAACATAGTGTGTCTGTCAAATATCCAACTTCCTGCAGGCTAGCAATGAGGTAGGTATCTAACTTCCAAACATGCGCAGCCTTCCAGATCCACTTTATAAAATCAGGGTCCATTACTTGAACCGATGCCTGGGGTACTACAGCCTTCCTCCTCTGCGAGCTGCTGGTTGAAAGTGAACGACGGGAAGAAAGCTGCAGAAGTATTTATACAGGTGAGCAGATTGATCGAACCCTGTGGGCAGCTGAGTAGTTGATGGTTATAGTATAAGTGTAGCTTGACGGACAAACCACAATAAATTTTATGTCATCCTGGTCTCAACAAACGGGGTGGCGGAAATCATCGTGTATGCACATGGCCGGTAGATGAGTTTCTGAGTGTGACGAACGAAGGTGCCGTAAATATCCCCCCACTCTTAGTATTGTCCCCTGGTCTACCGGTTCCCAGACTTATGTACATCTGAGTCCTTGTACATTTCCTCCCCTCCACCCCCAACTTACGTTAGTTCGTTCACCTCCTCCCACTCCCCACTCCAGGTGGCATTTCACGTATTTTCAACCCGAAGCTTGACAGGTATGGGGTAAGGTGAGAGTTCATCTATTAAACTAACTGGAGATAAATACATAAACCATAAACTGGAGCATAGATGTTTTTAATAAGTGTATTTGTGAGCCTGCCTCTTTATTATTAAATTGAATATAATTTCAGATCTTTGTATAACTTTTCTTCAGGTTAACTTAGAACATGAAATATTATTGTTATGAGATAATTCTCTAAAATACAGGGAAGTAACTGCTAGGGAAGCTCAAAAATGAAAAACTGGACTGATATTGATATCCGATAGTAACACTGGTGTTATGCCAGATTTACCAATATTTTTATTTTCTCAATTTTTTAAAATCCAATTACTCGATTAATTGTATGAATAATCAGCAGATTATTCAATTACTGAAATATTTGTTTATAACAGCCCTGGTGTCCACATTTTTTTCTGACAGAAAAAAAAAAGATGGCAGCTTAAAAATACTTGCAGACACGGACAAAAACATGCACAGTCAGTGTGTGCAAAATAAAGATTTGCCACTTATCACTATTACTAAGACAATGCTATTTTATATCTACTGACTGGTTAAACAAATAGATAACTCAGCTAAATAATTACCTCACAAACAGCAGTAATAAGAAGAAAAAGTGAAATAGTTGTGATATTTATCACTGGGCTGCATGGTTCAAATTTCAGCCTGCATGGAGTTTGTGGGTTCAATGTTCCGACTGTTCAAAAACATAAATGTTGTCTGTGATAAAAAGTCACATTTCACATCATACATTAGCGCAAATATAAAAAATTCCTACAAGTATTTCTAAATTGACACCACAGAATCTGTAATTTTGTTTGCAAAAAACACACACAAAATAATTAAACTTCTGGGAACAGCGATTTATTGATAATTTAACTATTGAATTAGTTTTAACAATATATTGTGGCACAACCGGCCCTTTCAGAACATTCAGATATTTAATTTGGCTCAAAATAAAAATGACTGACAGCCCTGATCTAAAGTAATCATACTTGGAGAATCTTTTACTATACAAAGTCCAGATGTCAATTTCGCAACATTAGCCAAAGAATTTGAATTTCTCCTTTCCAAGTACGGCTATTACATGTAAACTGTAATTTTTGGACAACTGGCTCAATTGAAATAATCACCTCTCCACTTATTCTTCCAGAACAGATCACTAAATGACACCAAAATAGTGTCGATATATCTGTTATTTCGCCTGAGGGCAACATACGCACATGTCCTCTGTCACCACCATATGGCAACCAAGTCAAACTCTGTCAGATCTTTCAGAATGACTGCTTACTATATTAAAGCCTGTTATTGTTACTCTATAATGTCTGTTAAAGCTCAGAAGGATTTCGCAACACAGCGGTGGATGGAAGAAGTTAGAAATATCAATATGTAATGAGAGAAAGAAGTGAAGCTCAGCTCCAGACTTTCAATCAGTTTCCTCTCCTTCATTTAGCTCAGATGCTAGAAAAACGCCCCGGCGCCGCAACAAACTGTCACCAGTGGAAGCAAAGAGAGCAGGATGAAGCGACCTGTCAGATTCCCCCTGAGCAGCTGATTAGAAGTCAAATTAACCAACCTCTGCTGTGGGTCCGGTAATGTTACCGCAGCAGCTCAGAGAGCAGCCATTTTGAAAGCGACACATATTTGCGTCAAGGTTCCATCAGGTCAGATCGCAATTGCAAATTCTTGGACTGACACCAACATGTTGAGTTGACACCAGATTACTAGAGAGTAGACGTGCCTTGGACAAGCAACGCATCCTGATCCGGTTTTATTGTCGAAGATGCTTGAGTTCACCGCGTGGATAAAAAATATTTCTGAGAAGCTAAATGGGAGGGAATAAAAAGAAAAGATAGACCCTTTTTTCGCCAAAGCATCTCTCGCCTAGCTGCCTGATGATGTTTATGAGCGGTTCTGATTTCTCAGTCTGATTGAGTGAGTGAGTGTCCCTTCTTACCGGGGTAGAAGTCTTTGGATTTGGACAGCTTAATGGTGGCACCCGTCTCTTTCTGCAGTTGTACGATGGTCTGGCCACCCTTGCCAATTATAGAGCCGGCTGCATAGCTGGGGATCAGCACCTTCAGGAAGTACTCACCCTCCTCTGGGGGAAAGACACACAAAGTGGGAAAAAGGCCACATCATGTACAGCAGCTCTACACATCATGTACACTATATATATATGTATATGCACTGAATAATCTCAAAAAGCAAAATATTCAAGAAATAAATTATACAAACATAACATCATTAATATGTGTTTAAGATAGAGCAAGGGGAAAGGTTGGTAATATATTTTTGCTGATATTTTTCTGAAGGGGAAACATTTTCAGGTATTTTGGGTAGGAATATTTGTAGCTTTCACATTCTATTAGCGATTGGAGGCATGTTCTGTGTCCTGGCCCAGATTTTCATGTAGAGTAAATGATGACCTCCTTTCCAGTTTGCAGAGGTCTAATTTTAACCATTTTCAAGGAGTTTTAGCAACACTCTGAATAAATACCCGTCAATGCTCGCTGTCAAGTAATCCTGCTTCACGCTGGAACCAAATGCCAGAAATCAAAACAAGTCAGAATGTAAGGGGGGAAAAAAAGAACCCCGAGACGCAGACTATCAGAACAAAACAAAAAAAAAAGAACCCCGAGACGCAGACTATCAGGACAAAACACAATCACATCCAACTCTTCATCCAAGCAGCTCGTGAATAGCCACAAAGAATTATCCGTCGTAATTAACCGACGTGTGGAGAACATATGGGAAGCAATCCTGCAGATTTGTTCAAAGGGTATGGAGCCAAAATGGTTTAAATCTCCTCCATTTTGGAGGGGCTTTTGTGGTTTAAAGTGGCTTTTAGTAGTCACTGATTGACAGAGTGTCACTGTGCAGCAGAATGTGTTTCTCCTCCTAGCTGGGTGAAGCTCCATTTTCTGCAGTTCTACTTAGAAAGCAGTCCAAACCAAGAAAGCCCTCATGCCACTGAGTGCAAACTGCGACGGAGCAATCAGCCACATTTGGTGCTTGTGCCCGTGCGTTATTGATTGACCTGACAACGTTGTGATGATGGCACATTTGACACAGGTGCACACTTGAACTTAAGCACGGGCACAAACAATCTCTTCTGTATGCTGATACGGATGCAATGACGTCATGTTCGATCCCTCTCAACTGCCAATAGGGGTGACGTCAGTAGAGCCGGGCAGGGATGCTACGAAGCGCCGTAAAACCTTTCTGGCCACGGTTCTTCTACCTTTCTCTAAAGTGTGCCGTCAGACTGTCAGCCGTCGCAGCCTGTCACCGTGTCTTGTACTTTGTTGAGGACAAGGAACGCGGAGAAGCGACCTGCGTGCCGAAGACATAAAGGACGGGGCGGTGGGGAGGAGGGCTGCAGGTGGACTGAGACCAACCTGTTGCCTCGATAATACACTCATTAGATTGAGATGTGAATGAACATGGCACTGTGACATAGGGGAATTTCACAGCCCAATTGGTAGCTCTTCCTCTTGTTGCATTAATATGCCCCTCATGTTCCATTCAGACATAGGCTCGGTTTGCTCAATATCACTCGTAACCAATGGCTCTGACAAACATCCACATATTCGGTGCCATTATTAGTAGCACCGAATTTAGTTTGGATTTATTAAAACTCACTAATCTCACTTTGACAATTAAAAAAAAAAACACTACGTTTTCGGAATATTTCAAGTGAGGATAAAAGCTGATGTATCTTTTAAGTGGAAAAAGAAAAACGGATGTGTTTGATCACATTCAGTGCTCTTTATTCTCCTTCGTCTCCTTTTTGGATATCTGAATCTTGTGCAGGGTTGCAGTCAGCTCTCTGCTTTTCTCTTAACGTGAAACACAAAATGACCTTGATGGAAAAAATTAAATAACGCCGTCGCCAAAAACCTCCTGAGCCCCTAAACTACCTACCGCCTCATAACCGACAGCGTGCCAGTAAGAAAACATTTCACAGAATGATTTCTTTTCACTGGATCCCAATATTTCGAGACCTGTTGTTGCCAGACGAGCCCAAACCCACTGCGTAACTTTCTGCTCATCTTCAGCCGGGAGTGAACCCAGCAGGGGAGAAAGCCGCTAAGATTCCCCTCTTGTCACCCTCACAGCCACGTTTGGTGTCATTAGTCAATAATTAATTCCATCTAAGTGTCTGAGATCACAGTAACAGGTTTTAATGGCGTCATGTGGTAGAGTAAACATGGCAATCTGTCGCCAGGGAACGGGAGCAGTGGGGCACATTGGGAGGTTGAGCCAGTGGGGTGTTAGTTCAAACCCTTGCTTCCAGTACTGGAAGGATGGCTTGGAGGAGAGACATGGTCTCTGAGCCAAATGCGTTTAGTTAAGTCACTCAAGGGGGGTGGGTCAGGAGGAAATGCCTTGTGACCGTCCTCCCCTCCTTCTCACAACCATTCCAAGTACCCATTCTGCATTTCAATGGACCAACCTGCTCCTGACAGGGGAGCAAGGACGATGGAACAAAAATGAGCCGCAACGAGCAAATCCGCCTTAAGATGTATGAAAGTACTCATGGTGCAGCGTGATGGATAAATTCAACAAGTCAGACAATCAGAGTTTGAAGCTTACCCATTCTGAGATCTGCTGCTTCTCAAGTCCTCTGTCAGATCGCCATCAATGCCGGGGCGCAATCTCTAAAGGGGCTCTTGACATTAGCCTAGGCATAGGTGCAACGGTAGTGTTGAGGAATGCGGCCAGTCGACCTTTTTTTTCACCGAGGTCTTATTCATCAGTGGGGTGCAGAAAAAGAGATTTCACCGCAGCATCCGAGCCATGCCTGCAGCTGGCCCGAGCCTCAATTGTCTGAGAAAATGCTAATGCAGGCTCTGAGTGTTTTCAGTGAAAGACGGCACGCATTGTTCAAGCCTGCATCGGTTTGAAGGGGGGGGGGTCTTCCCTGCCGCATCACCCTTTTCACTGCTCTCATCCATATTCATCGAGTGGCCTGTCCGTCTGCAGCAGCACGCAGGACTGGCAGCCGGCGCAGCCAATGGCCGGCCTCCTCTCCTCAGGACGTCACGTTCCCACCCCTCCAACGCCGGTCCCCAAAAAATTGAATTTTCTCTTCTACTCCGCCTCTTTTGACGCAGCACTATAAAGTACGGCAGTCCATTCACTCACTCTTTTCAGAGAAAAGTGACAAAGGTGAAGTGGCTGAAGGAGCGGACGGCAGCGCCGGACGAAGAGCTTCGCACAATGACCTTCAGTAGAGGCAGGAGAGGTGCATGGAGAACATAGCCAGATGATGGAGGAGGTGGAGGAGGAGTGATCGGAGACGGCGCGCTTTACGCCACCCACCCTCCTTTCCTCTTTTCCCCCACCCCCAATCCCTGAAACCGCCATGTTTGAGAGGGCGGAGGGGCTCATCAACCATTGCAAATGGCAGTGCCGCAGAATGGTGGAGGGGGGTGATGAAGCCAATCACTACGCCTATAAATCTTACACCGAGAGGTATCTTAAGTGACAGAATGAGTGTTGAAAACTGCAGTGTTCTTGTGTGCAAGTACCTGTTAGTGGACACGAAGGTCCAGCTTCATTTAACGGCACATTCCAGGAAACCTGCACACAATGAACTCTCTCCCTACTCGATGTTGATCAGTTTGATCAAACGCTAATATTTTTTCCTATTTTTTTTATTTTTTGCTGTTGAAACAAGCCACTTCCAGAAGATTCTAGCAGAGATATGCTCCACTGTATAGCCTCAGCTTCCCTGTAGACTCCACTTTCTCTCAGGGTCTATCTGGCTCCTCTTTTCTCTCTGTCTCCTCATTACTTTCGCTTCCTCCTATTCTCTGTTTCGCTGCCACCTGGCAAATTCACAGTCCGCTCACGTCACATCGCTCTGCAAGGGCACCTGTGTCCTTCCCCCCCCAAAAAAATAAAAAAATCAAATAAATAAACAAATAAAAACACGGTTCACATTCCTGTGCCAGCCTTTCCATTAGCAACATAACAAGATCATAGAACCACCCCCCTCTACCCCCAGCAAACAATCTTTTGGTAGGTGTGTGCTTGCCAACAACGTGGGCTCACAGTATGGATAATTTAGAAAGAAAAAGAGTGAATGAAAGATGGTTCATTTTGAGGAGAGAAGGGCGTAGCTGATAAAAGAGTAGTCATTTCCCTCATTCAGTGTCCACGACTCCTAATGCACAGCAAGGGGGGGCTCTCGGCTTTGAAAGAGCCAAGGCTTTCTTCCCTTTGTTGTAACTGCCAGTCATGTTAATGATCAGTTGGGTTGGAATAACGTGATCAATATCAGACGTAGTCTTGGGGCTGGTGATTACAGGGCTGGCTGAGGATTAGCAGGCTGTCTAACACTGTTGTCAAGACAGGCTGCAGAAGAGACAATACAAAGATCACTGGATGGAAATGATTTGCTTTTCTGCATTTGTTTCAATTTTTCCCTCAATATCAAATTCCAGTAAATAATTATGCATTTCAGAAAGGCCTTGAGGCTGTTCTGCATACCTCCTTGCTGTACTGTTAACCTTAGACTATATGCAAATCATAAATTTAGGCAACCACCTGAAACATGAATTAGCTTAGATGTTAAAAGAGAGCAGGATAAAGTTTCATCAATTTCTGGCACTTGAGCACCAGAAATACGTTTCCTGCTCAATAAATAGCAAGTTGAAGCAAAAATAAATACTCATCAATGACTGTTTAAATAGTTTTTTAGAAATCTGAATCTCTTCCAAATTTATATTCCAACTAATGTCCACCCATTGTCCAGACTGGCTTCTCAGAGGGGCTGTAGCAGACAGTGGGCCCACGGTGGGGGGAGCTGGCTCTAGACCGGGTTTTAGTCTGTCACAGCGCAATGCAGGGACATGCAAGACAACCATTCACACCTAGGGGCAATTTAGACTCACTGATCTAACACACACGCATGTTTTTGGATAACAAAAAGAAACTGGAGTACCTGGGGAAAACCTACATAAGCACCAAATTTCTTCTGTAGGTTGAATATCAAATTACATTTTTTCCCCCAGTTTCAGTGTCAGCCAGAGCTACAAGTAATGCACAATCTGGATGGGTATGGCAGTGGCACAGGAGTAAAGCATGCAACCCAAAGCAGGCCTCAGAACGACACATCCGTCACGGGTTTGAGTCCAGGCCCGTCAACCTTTGCTGCATGTCTCACAGTCCACTTTCCTGTCAACTACCTCTCAAATGGAGGCCACTAGAGCCAAAAAAATCCTTCAAAAATAATTAATATGACACAAATATAACAATCTGATAGCTGGCTGACTAGTCAGGTAGCCATCCTGTAACTGGCCTGATGCTCCACAATGACCGTCTGTGATTTATGTGACTGAAAACATGTTTTAAACAGCCACATGTGTCTTTCTTGTAAATGAGTAAGTCTAGTATTTTCCTTCAGCCAGCTGACTGACAGTACACAGCAATAGCTGGGGAGGTGGCAACAGTCAGAGAAATCTTGAAAGTTTTTATTGCAAACATTAAATAGTAGGAATGGTAAGGTGGAACTTTTTGTTTTTTTTTTTTAATACCAATTGGGCACTAATGTCCTTTACTTAACAATAACTGGACAGGACACAGGAAGGAGAGAGAAGGGAAACCCAGGACAACTGCAACGAGGACTGCAGCCTCGTCTCTACTGACTGAGCCACCCAGCGTCACAATGACAGTTTTGAAACAGTTGCTTCATAAAATATTAATAGGCGGGTAACTAAGCCGTGCCTCTTCCCCTACATACACTTCAAAAACACACAAAGCGGGTTAATAGGTGATGTTAAGCTGGTATGAGATCAATAACCAGTTGTCTGGTGTTTTGACTTAGAACATCTCTGTTACACGTAATTAAAAATGGATGGTCTTTTGATGGACTAGCGAATCTTCCAGAGTATACCTGTTGTCCCTGAGCGTCCCCTGAGACAGGTGCCAGGTTCCTTGACTGACCCTGTATTACTTAAGATATATAACCCTGTTCTCAAAGCTCCTCTTTCCCTTGAATCACTACATCATAATTATCCAGCATCAGGTTGTGAAATTATGAAAGTGGCAGCACTAAAAAGCACATAACATATGTGCGAATTGAAACGTTCTCCAAACTCCTCCAACACTCACATCAGCCGGTAATTGAATGACAAAATCCGAGCCGGGTGTTGGTGCTTGCAGGTTAACGGTGAAAAACTGCCTCCGAGAAGCAGGATTGCCACATTAGTTCTTCTTCTGCAGCTGTTTTCGAGGTGTTAATGGATGACATATGGGGTTTGGAAATGTTCTAAAACACTGCTTGGTGCCATCAGGGCTCCCTTCGTGCCTTGCTGAAATTTTATTTCTGAGGAGCAGCGAAGTGCAGAAAGGATGTGCTCACGCTGTCAGAAAATATGATATAATGCTGCCGTCACCATTGAATGAGGTGCTGCTGGTGCACAAAGGGAGAAATTCTAGTAACATATGGCGAAAAAAAGAAAACACTGTGTTTCTCTGCAGACATCTAATTAATATTAAGTTGTTGAGTAAGTGTTCGCTGTGAGCTGCAGAGCACGACAGCCCTAAGCTGGAGTAAGACATACAGTAGCTCGAGTCAGCCATCATCTTCTGACTGCAGCTCTCTAACATCTTGCAGAAAAATTAGGACTCATGCAGCGGTTCTTTGTCACCACTAAACCCAACCATTACCTGACAGTGCAGCAAATAATTCCCCGTTTTTAATATCCTATGTTTATCTTGTAACACGTCTTCTCTCACATCTTTTTTAACGAGCGTTCCTAGATTTCTGATTGGAATTTTACCCTCCAGCCTGATTGGCCTCATCAGCAAACCTATAAATAAACGTGGTTAAGATAGAGATCTGCACTACGACCGGCGATGAGTGTTCACCCTGGAGGCTTGTGTAAATTTTACCTATTAGTTTTCCTGCTTAGCTGAGCTTATGATTTACGTTTAACATTTTGAGAGCGCCACAGCACCGTGAGCAACTCTGAAACAGATGCTGGTGGGAGCAGAATTTTTTTCTCTTCTTCCAATCAGCGAACACGCCAGGTGAGCTCTCCCTCTTCACGCCGACAATAACACTCTTTGCATTGACTCAGATGCTTCCACCATCCACAGGGTCAGTGAAAGTACAAAAATAGTAAGAAGCTTCAGTAAAGGAAGCTGTATTTTCTTAAGATATTACAGAAAGTCACTGTGTTTATTTTTTTTTTAAGAGTTGAATTATTTTTGTCATAAAACATGCTGGATGTGCTTTGGAAAGTATTCAGTTAAGGTATGGATCTTGTCTCCACGGTAGGTAATTAGTAATGTTGACAATGCTAATCACTAAAATAAAATGCTAAAACCAATTCAAAAAGTAAATTCTGTAATTTAATCTTTGTATTAAAATTTTAGTAAAATCCTGCACACAGAGCTCCTATGAAAAATTTATCACAACACAGAGACATCCTGAGATTTTTGTACAGTAACAACAAAGTTCAATAAGACCAATTAGTTGGTATCAGTGGTGCGATCGCTGCTTTAGTTCAAGAATCTCTCCTAAAATTTTATTTTAATTTTGTGATGGAGTTTCTCAACTCCACCTCAAAAAAAGACTCTTGATTTGTTTACAAATGATTTTTTTGTCTGTTTTGTTTATGCAGAAAATGATTCTCACAAGTGTATTTTGTTTTTCTATTAAAGCATAAACCTACAAACTTTGCCCAATTCTGTTTTAGGTTTTAACAAGAAAAAGAAAATAAAAGGAAAATGAACAAAAGCACGATGGTCTCATGGAAAAATGAGATTATCGTATTTCTGCTGCCATGTCAAACATCTGACCAATCACCTCGCAGTTTGTCGCCTCCAGCAGCACAAACAGAAAATCAGGAAGATGAATATCAGAAATCCTAATTTATACAAACCCAAACGATCAGAAGCCTGATGACATATCAAACCTGAATAAAAAAAGTTTCTGAATCGGTATCGGCATTGCCAAAACATGCCTTAATAGTAACATTAAATGGCTTAATAGACATCAAAGACCTATGTTTAGTCAATTTTATTTTAGTTCTACGCTTCATAATGAGAACGTTTTGGTTTTAGCCTCTTCCTTGGATGTGTTTTTATTTATGTGGAGGGCTCCTGTGCAAGAACCGCCTCTTTCTAAGTACCTGCAATCGGCTGTGATCTGTTTTCTCTACAGTTCCAATTATCCCTGCCATAAACACCGTTAATGTTTCTTGCTCTGAGGGTGGAAAAAAGAAAAGAAAAGAAAAAAAAAACGAAGTTCAACAAAGATTTTTGTGAGGCCACTAGTCCAATAAATCCGAGCCTATAACAGAGAGCGGACTAAATGAACAAAGCTAGAACGTTAAACCAATCAGCTCTCTGCTTCTCTGCGTATCTCCAGCTCCAGATGTGGAGCAGAGAGCTTTCTTGGATTCACATTCAAAGCCGACCTGAGCCGAGGAGGCCGTTCAGTGAGTCAGGCAGCCTGCCCTCCCAGTTGGGATATGAAGTAACAGCCATAAACACTGGGGAGCCTTCCAAAGCGCACAGGTGCTGCGCTGGAAACGCCAACAGCCGGTTCGCTGGGCTTCCATGCGCTCTGGCTGCACGCAGACGGCCGATACTGACGCACCGTTTTGTTTTGTTTTTTTGTTTGTTTGTTTCTTGGGACGGATTCCGACACCAACCTGCGGCTTCTCGTGGATGAGACGCGGAGGACTGGCTGATTTCGTGTTGCGGCGCTCTTACCTCCGGTGTTGGTGCGCTTGGTACAGCCGGCCTCTTCAGCCGGAGTTTCCAGCGGCCGCTTGCGGGAGTCCGGGTTGTCCGCCTCCATTTGACTCTGCTGCTGCTGCAGGCTGTGGAGGTTCGGGTTCGAGTATATCCCGTTGTGGTCCATAGCCGCTGCTGCTCCACCACCATCTCCACCACCGGCCATCATCATGTTTCCACCGATAAACTGTTCCCCCTGCCTCTCTCGCTCTCTTCCTCTCCCTCTCTCTCCGTCTCTCTCTCTCTGACACAGACGGAACACGCAGCGATCTCACCACCACACACCCCCCCACCCCCGGCCGCTGCACCGCGGCCCCGGGCGCTAAGGTCTCTGTGGGGGTTCGGATGTTAAACAACACCGGGATCAGGGTCTCCTCTCCCCGCCACGCCGCCGCTGCTGCTCCCCTCACGGGGCTAAATATAAAAGCCAATTGAGTTCAAGGCGCCGCTCGCTGATCCCGTATTGTTGCGCCTTCACGTGAAATAAAGCAGAAGCGCGGAGGAGGGAAAGAGATCCACGCAGCGAGGGGCAGAGAGTGGAGGGGGGAACAACAACAGCTTTTTTAAACTCTTCTTCACGACACATTTCCCTCGTAAGTCCGGTGTGATGAGCGCAGCTGCTATTATTGTTGCCTTTGTAGTGAGAGAGGGGAGAAAATAGTTTTTTGGAGAGGGGGTGGGGGGACCCAGAGATACTACAGTGAACCAAAACTATCCACAGAACCAAAACAAGACTGACCCAGCTCCATTACCTGCTGTAACTCTGCATCAAACTATACAAACTAATTCTGTAAGTTTTTTTTTTCATCAGCAGATATAAATTATTTCGGTTTATTTTTAACATTAAAAGGGGGGGACTCTATGTAAAATTGACTTGAAAAAAAAAAAAGTTAGGAAGTTATTTCGTCGTCAAAAACGTACCCGGAGTGTTGCTTTGATTCTTTCGTGCATGAGAAATTTCCTTCAATCTGCTGTTGGCAAACCATTCAGCTGTGCAAAGGCCACTGCCTCACTCGTCTCCTTCAGACTAGCCAGTCGCAATTAGCAGGCATCTTGCTGACTGCGCCGTGCGACTGGTAAAACTGTTGCTAAAGTGTTGACAGAAGAGCTTGTGAGGCATTTCAGAAAGAGCAGGGATAGGAGGGTTATGGAGACAGAAGCCCAATTTTAATGTGTTAAATTATGAATTAAAATGTATATTGAGTCATATTTAATAGGCCTATATAAAATATTTTTATAACAACTGAAGAAATCTGAAGAAAAAGAAGTCACAGTGCATGCACCTTTTTGGTGTTTGTGAAACAAGGTTCACTACCTCCATTTTACGTTTGAATTTGTTTCATAAAGGACAGTCCATATTAATCATCAACATGAGTACAACCATGAAGACATGCCAGATTTAGCCACCAGCGCATCTGTAATTCAACCAGGGCCTTCAAAAGTACTCAACTATCGTTGAACAACATATTGTAAAAACAATGCAAAACGTCAAGCAACTTTCATCACAAAGCAAGGAAATAAGTAAAATTAAGCCAAAAAAAGCAATCATGCATAGAACAAGCAATATATTAATGAATATTTCAAAAAAATACACATGCAACATAATTGAACAGCTAGCTAGTTTCCCAATTATGCTCAATATCAATCCTAACTGCTCAAATAGTACACGTGAACAATTAAAAGAACAAAAAACATTAAGAAAAGTTTGTATGAGAATATAAGAGAAAAGCAACACTCGCCCAATTATTTGTAAATAGAATCCACAGGTTACTGTGCTCAGTGCTAGCTGTTAGCCACTCCTAGCTAAAATATACCTCGCAAACTTCTTTCTAGTCCGTGTTAGTGAATCCAGATTTGGTGTGGATTTTCAATTTTTTGTTATTTCTTTTCTTTCTTTTTTTTATCCGTTAAAGAGCGTCTTGAAAAAAGGCGACTTTGATAAGGCAGCAAAAAGGTCTAACGGTCAAAACGGGATGCGGCCGCCATTTTGTAAATACCAAGATCACTACGGCGACAACTGCAGGGGAAGCTCTTGCCTTACAGCGGGGCCTTTGAGACGACAGGCGTTTCAGAATTATTGGCTTATAATTCTGACTGAGAACCTCAACCGATATTTCTGTCAGTCCTGCCAATTATAGCATGTTGCGCAGCATTTTTGACGGGTACAGCAGGTAGTGAAGCGGAGCAGCTCGCCAGATGCGTTAAAGGCACTTTTCAAAAGTAGGAAATTACAGTGAAACCTCCACAACACCAACTAGCAACTGGTTTGTAGAGTAAAATTAAATCACAGATAAAATTAAATACGATTAAAACATTTACACTTTTTTCTATTTACTAGTGCTAGCAGTGAAGGCCCTGCTGGCCCTAACAGACCACCATTAGTAAAATGGACGAACACACAAAATATATCATTTATAGCAGGCTATGTGCTCTGAATTACAAGAAATACATAGCAAGAAATGGTTAATAATAATAATGGTTCGTACAAATTAGCAATTAAAAAAAGGAAGTCACGCCCATAAAAACATTTAATTCCACAATAGTTTGGTTAATCGTAACTCTATAGTTCTCCAGATTGTATCTAATTCCATGCAAAATACCTATCTTTAATTATGCTATGCTGTCAGAGTAATGTTTGGCGCAGATAAGAAAATTGTGTGCTTTTCAGGAGTTGGTTTCAGCTCCTTAGTTCCAGTGAAGTGAATCCTTAGACCTTTAGCACACCAGACAATAATGTGCTGCACTTTGTGGGAACAGTCTGGGGATAAACGTTTCCTGTTCCAACATTGGTGTCTGACCTTACACTTTTAGTAAAGCATACTTACAGCTAGTTGTTTCATTTTGGTATTTTTCTATCTCCAACAACAATCAGCGCTCTCACAGAAAACACACAAAACAAAGAAGACCAGACATCCATCAATCCAAATAGGTTATTTATTTTCTGTAATAAATGTACACTTTAATGATCTCAAGATCACATCACTTTATTCAACTTAAACAGAGCACCCTTGTTTGTTTATCAGCCTACCTGCAGCTAAAGAAACTTCCATATTGAAGGTTTGCCTACTGAATACCAATGTGGTGTTCGATGATCTAATCAGTCCTAAATGCAGTACACCCCTGAGATAATCCTTTAAACTGCACTTTAATTAGGATGAAGCGTTCCGGTGCGGTCCACTGGGACCAACAGGCAAATAAATGCTGGATCATGTAGACGTCTGATCGCCACCTTCCTGGCTGTGAGCTGGAGCACTGCTGTCCTCAGCGTCTGTAGCTTCATCTGGCTCAGGGTTAGCAGCCAGCGCCGATACCCTCTGTGTGAGCCTCTCCAGAACCAAACCAGCAGTGCAGGTGAGGCTGTGCTGAAGAGATGACCCACAACAACAGGTCAGAACCATAACGCAGGGGGATAACAGTTTTCGGTCAAGCGAGGGTGAGAAAGCTAAGCATTTGTGGTGTAAAGTCTATCAAGGTGATCAATTAATTCAAGGTAGAACAAAAGGACTTCCTTCATCTTTAAGAAATTTTATACTAAGTAAAAAGCAGATATGTATTTTAGCAAAAATATGATCAAATAGAAAAAAACCACACATATATATGTAAATATATATATATTGTTCAACCATTCTGCAATTTCTCTATCCATACAGTAGAGGTCAGCACTTATCACTTGTGCAACAAGATTTTTGACACTCAGCTCCATGGTCATGTAGAGCCTGACAGCAGAGCCGGTGTCCTTGACAACAGTGTGCTACCTGTAGGATGTGCAGTCCTTTCAGAGTGAGGACAGCCAGCTCTCTCAACCCGTCCCCGGTCAAGTCGAGGTAGATGACGGACAGCAAGGGACTCTTGAAGCTCCGCCTCCACTGCAGCTGGAACTCTCCGTCTTGTCCCCTGCCTGCTGGCCGGAATTTGTAACAAAGTAGTTCCTTCAAGATAGAGATGGACAGCTTTATAATTAGGAGCTCACTGTTCTTATCTGGAAAATACAAGAGCTGATAACATGTCCCGTTTTATCTCGTACTGTTCAGATTAATCAGATTCTTAATGTCAAAACATCACCCAAAAAACAGAGCCCTTTGATCTCAAGGGTCAAGCCTTTGATGTACATTCAATCATCATAGGTCTTCAAGAAACTTGCTTAATTTACTTATTTGTATTTCTAGTTTAGAGGAAAGTGCTTTTCACTTTATGATGAAATGGTCTCTTCAGACTGAGTTACAACCATGATTTAAGCGTGACAGGAACGCAGTGGGCCAAAGGGCGGGTGGGATGTCAGTTTGGCTCGGAGCAGGAAAAGAGGATGCAGAGGATGAACTTTGAGCTGAATACTCTTCAATAATTCATTGTCGGGTGTCCTGAAGGTTCTTTTAGATCACTGGTGATACAGGGTTTGTTATTAAAGCATCTCAATTTTGTTGTAGGGATGGTGTTGCCTACATAAAAGATAATGTGGTCGGTCACACACTCGGGCCTCTCAGTGTGGCTGGCACAGAGCAATCCGATCTGTAGCGTAAAAAAAACATCCCCTCAGAGCTTCTTCAGTTTCCTGTGACATTTTCTCTTAGTTCTTTTTTACTACATGTTGCCTCTAAAATAATTTGAGAAAACAAATTTGTGATCTGATTTGCCAAGAGTAGGTCTTGCAACAGAGGTGCATGCATCCCTGATGTTTTGAAAAACAAATCCAACACATTATTTCTGGTATAGCAGCTGAGAAACGATTGAAACACGAACAACGGGAGAAAGTAAGGTGTGATTAAAATCACCTGACGTCACAATAATCCACCTCGTTTTCTTTTGCTACTTCTTTAGATCTTTTTCTTCTTGTATGGTTGGAAAACCAACCTCAGCATCGTTGGAGTTTGTAGTATCTTTCTGCAGCCACGTCTCAGTGAAACGTCCTCCTGATTCACCGTCTGGATGCTTGTCAGCGTTTGGAGTTAATCCATTTTCATACTGGAGATCTCACATTCCCAATTATGAATTATTAGGAATGTGAGATCTCCACTGTCTGCACTGGATTCATTATTTGAACCTCTTCTGCTTTGTTTCATAGCGTTACATATCACAACAACTGTCCAAAATAAAACGTACTAGGAAAAAAATATATTTTCAGCTGCTGAGTATCCAAATTAAAATAACAATAATTAAAAAAAAAGAACCTATTTTGAAGATGAATCAACCAGAAAAATGAGAGGAATGTTTTTAAATGAGCAAATTACAAAGACTGTACAAGATCACTGTTCTAGAATTACATATTGCTGATTAACCATTGCAGTGTTTAAAATGGTTCTTCATCACTACAAGAACTATAATTCAGTCAAGCTGTTTGCCTAAAGACATAAAGTATGAGTGGGTACTTCAAATAAGCCATTGGAAATGTTGAAAGTAAAAAGAAAGGAGCGAGCAAAATAATCGTGATTCTGCAGTGACTGTATTTAATGGCCACCAGAAAACCAGCTCTCAGTGGTTCTGACCTGTCCGTATGTTCCCAACAGCACCTCCTTCTGCCCGTCAAAGTCCAGGTCAATGACCAAAGCACAGAGGACGGCATCCCACTGGTCACTCCCTGCGAGACATGTGGAGCGCGACAAACCACACTCCTGGACGTCTCTGATGAAACACATAGCGGATCGTCTAAGTAAAACTGATGAGCTCAGGAAAATCCCAGGCTTCCTGACACAAACCTGTAGACCACTGCCATCTCTATGGTGCTGGTTATCAGAAGATTGTGGCCACCAACTTCTTCACCTGGGAGAAACAATAAAATAAAATAAACAGCAAGAAACCCTGAGACACACTGTGGATTTGGCGAGACTAAATCCATACTTCTCTCGCCGCTGGCCTCTCTGGACTTGGTTTGGCAGCTGAGTGGAAACAGAAGCACGGTGGAAATCGGGCTGTCAAACTGAACCTGCCATTTCTGCAGGACCTCTTATGGAAACACACAGTAAAATACTCATGAGCAACTGAGCCCAGCTTCACGTAGGTGTGTCAGACTTGTGATGCTGCAAAGATAATTATGTCAAGTGAAGCCAGACTAAATCAACCTGACTGTACAAGTAAACACTGAAGTTTATGTGGAACTGCCTAAAGTTTATATTATCTCATGCATGTCTTTTAATAATCGAACACTATTGTCGGGTGTAAATGTAAAAGTGAAAATATTTAATAATAATAAAACAAAGAATTAAAAAAAAAAGCTAACACTTTATTAAAAATTAGCAAAGTACATATTTAGGTCTACCAGGAACATATTTCCTTTTGTCATTTCTGAACATTTCTAGTAGAGAGTCACGTACCGCATTTTCCGGACTATAAGTCGCAGTTTTTTTCATAGTTTGGCCAGGAGTGCAACTTATATTCCAGGAGAGACTTACGTGTGGAAATTAACACATCATTATATCATATCACGTTATTTTCACACTAAACCACAAGAGGGCGCTCTAGGACTGTCTTATTCTCCCATCAGAGTTAACAGAGTTAGTTAAGCAACATCGAGGAGGACGAATATTTCATTGCGTTTAGTGACTTGGAGAGACACGAATGGTTTGGTAAACTTGTTAGCATGTTATTCATGCAATAGTTATTTGAATAACTCTTAATATGTTATGCTAACACACCAGGCACGTTCTCAGTTTGTTGTTTGTCATGTAACGTTAGCATATCGTACAATTATTCAGCCTGTGGTTGCATCTATTCTATTTTTATTACCTTTCAAGATGACATGTCTGTTCTTTGTGTTGGATTTTATCAAATAAGTTTCCCTCAAAAATGCTACTTATATATATTTTTCTTCTTTATCATGCATTTTATGGCTGATGCGACTTATACCCCGGAGCGATTTATAGTCCAGAAAATACGGTAATTGTGAATTTGCTGCTTTAGACTTGGACATGTTTTCACCGTTATATCATTAGTTCTATTTGCTTTGTAAATCAGATGCCACACAGAATATAGCAGAAACACAACATGTGGATCGTGGATGTGTCCCTGTGTCTTCACCGCAGAGTGCTATTTGCAAAGTGCCTAACGAAGCACTTTAAGGAGGAGCCTGTTTTATTGTAGATCCAGATAACAGAGTGATCCTTCGGGACTTTCTGATCTGCATTTACGGCTCATTTCTTCTCACCTGGTCCATTCTGGTTGACCAAAGCCAGTCCAATGCAGCCGTTCTGACAGCCGTACGCCGAGAGCCGCTTTCCATCAGCTACACTCACCATATCCAACCACAACACACTGCACAGCGAGAGAGAGAAGAAAAGAAAAAAGTAAACACAAACACTCAAAGTGATGCACGTAAAAATCACCCGGTGACCAGAATCAGCTTGTTTTTTAGCTCAGTTGTTAAGGTTGCAAAATAGTAAGAGAGCGTAAGACTATCTGGAAAAAACTTAATCAATTACAGATTTGACAGAAACCACAGGTCAAAAATTTGTTTCCAGAAAAGCCTAATGGTGCATGTAATTATCAAATAGTGAATAAAATAAACTAGATATCTGAAATCTGAATAGATCAGCAGCAGTGCATGCATTATATACACAATAAGCAACGTGACATAGGTAGTATTGGAGGTGAAGAGGCTCAGAATAACCAACTTGCTGGGCAGCTGCTGTAGTTCAGGGAACAGTTTCTCTACTGGTTGCTCTTCAAACTGGTGCAGGGAGGCATTCTGTGGAGGAACCAGGAGTCAGGCTTCAACACGTACAGTCACACTCAATAACTGCATTAGAATACATGTTCAGATGAGGCACGTTTGTCAGAAAATAACATCCTAAAAGTAGGTATCACACATACTTTTCATTAAGCCTACACTTTAGTATGAAAACTGTTTTTATAATTGGTCTGGTGTAATATTCTCCTTGGCAACTGAATTTATTGTCCAAGTGCCAAAGAGAAGCAAAACAGTTTTACTTTCACAAATGGGAGTATTGCAGCTTTCGCTATCAGGCTCCATAAAAAAATTTATCAATTAAAAAAACCTTTATTTGTGAATTGCTTTGGATTTATCTGAAATGCATCGTAAGATGCATCCTCTTTCAAGAAATGGGTCAAATTGGACCACTAAGCAAAAGTTTTCCAGTTTGATATGAAATGTGCGCCAACCTCCTTGTACAGGTGGATCCTCTGGTCATGACCGCTGAGTAGAAAAACTGTCTCTGGGCCTTCATCAGGACACTGCACTCTGACAGAGAGAGAAAAACACACTCAGCATCAGACACCCAATCACAGAGCACAAACTGATAGCAAATTTCTATTTAGTTCAATTCATGGACAGAAAAATGTTGTTAGGTGTGAATACATAATCCTGCCTTTAGCTTATATATATATATATATATATATATATATATATATATATATATATATACTCACTCTGTGTGGTAGAGCTGGAATGGGGTGAACTGCAGCTCCAGATTCAGACAGCTTTCTGATCAGAGGAACACGTTCACATAAGTTCACAGCACCGTCAGGACGAGTGTCGCTTTCATACGTTCGCAGCTTCACTCACGCGCAATGGACTCCAGGTTGAACTCGGAGCCGGGCTCATAGTCGCAGTAGATGTTCAGGAAGGGCGTGGCTTTGTCTCCGGAGTCCTGCGGTAGATCAGATACAGGAACTGTTCGAACCACTGGAACGTTTTCTGACATGACGACTACAAACTTCAGAAGGCTTTCTTAAGAGGTGATGTGACAAGCCAACATTTAGTTGCATCATTTTTTTAAATTACAAATAAAAATATGGAAAGTGTATTTTGCGACGCTGTTTTAGGGGCACTATAAATAAAAAAATAAAAAGGAGGAGTAGGTTTCTAGTGAAAGACGCAGAAATTTTTACATAAATATCAGAAATATTCTAGTAACAAATACATTTGTAAACTTCCAAAGTAGAATTTTAGAAAAAAAAAAAAAACTAAAATAATTTTGAGATTAAAAGTTGAAAATATTACTCAGTTTTCCACTTTTTTTTTTTCCTAGAAGATTTCTGAGTTTTCACAGAAAAAATTTGGACTTACGAAGCCAAGTCATTGTTTTCACTAGAATATTTCCGAGTATAATCTCAAAATCTGACTTTTTTTTTTGTTTGTTTTTGTATGAAAATTACAATGGCCCTAATTCGTCATAGTAATATTAAAATCTTTTGAACTGAGACACAATTAATACAACACAAATCAATAAAAAATGCTTCAGAAGTCACTTTATTGCAGAAATAACTGAATTGTGATCCTGAATCTCAATTCAAAGACACGGATGTTTTTTGAAGTCCTCAGATGTTTATTAGAGAACAAACTGTATTCTGAACACAAAGCAATACATCTTGCTCCGGGAGAAAGATGCATACCAACATTTCATACCTTTATGAAGGTGATCCCCACCACCAGGCCTCTTTTGGGTGAAGACTTGTTGAATGCATCAATTGATACGATTTCTGCATCGACTGCAGAAAGAAGGGAGGACTCAGTCTGCAGCATCGAGCAGCCATTGGTAGGACACTCATGCTTCTTTAGTCGTCACCAGTACCTGGTATGTAGGTGAACTGGACCTCCTTGGCCACCGGGCGGACTTTATGCTGCAGCTCCTGGTACCTGAAGCAGACCACCTTCCCTTTGAGAGTGGCCGCGAGCAGCTCCTGCTCCCCGGCCTGACACAGCCCGTAAATGTTGCTCTGCGACGGGAAGCGGCTGAAGCTGTCTTCCACGAAGGGGTAGGACTCCCGGAGCATCACGCGGGTCCAAAACAAGCCCTTCCGATGCTAAAACATGGGGTTGACGGGGCTCGGCTGTTTATGTTTCAGCCGTTTCCTCACACAACTCAAGTACAATCACAGAGTCATTGCACTCCGGAAGTGAAGGGGGCGCTAATTCCTCTGACATCCGCGGTCTCCCGTTTTACTTTTCTTTTTAAATCTGTGATAAATATTCATCTTTAGGAAGGATTTTCGCTCTCAGCATGTATTCGGACTTCCCCTTTTTATTTATTTCAGAACAGTTCACAGTTTTTAACAAGTTCTGCAGCTTTTGGGTACTTCTAAATCTGCTCTTAAGTCGCAACTTTTCTGGCCTGCTGCTCCCTCTAGTGGCCTACGGGTGGTAACACAACTACCATAACTGTTCAGAGACATTGTTCTGCTGAAACTCTTCAGCTGCTGGAGTTTCTGGTTCCTGAGGTGTTGTTTGGATGACATCTTTGTTGAATGAAACCTTTATCTGTGGAGGGGATGTTCTCTGTTCTTCCATTAGATTACTCTCCCCTTGTGTGGAAACCACAGGAGCCTTACCTGTTATGTCTCCTGAAACTTGGCAAGGTTTGGTCTCTGTTTGCTCAACAGCTGACTGTGGGATCTCTGCTATTATTTCTACACCAGTTTTTGGTCCCTTGGTGTTTTGGATCAAGTTGTGATCAGTCTCTGTTGGGTTTACAATAGTTTCCAGTTGAGCTTTGATTGCCATCTTTCTCTTGTTCTTGCGTTTAGATTTAGTCAATGCCTTTTTCGTGTCTTCAGTCGCCTGCTGTGGTTTTCCAATCATTGTTACATTTCTTTGAATCTCCGTTATGATGGTGGCTGACTGATCCCTGACTGATTCTGATTTAGAAACTTCTTCTAGTTCAGCATTTTCAACAGAAACTTTATTATTGTTGAGACTTTTCAAATCTGATGCAGCTTTTTTTGCTGCCTTTCTCTTGTTCTTACGTTTAGACGTCCTTGACTGCTTTTTTTCACCTTCATTGTCTCCATTTTGTTGTGTTGTGGAGTCCGTTTCTTTTTTGAGCGCCTGCTGTGGTTGAACGATGAATGTTTCATTTGTGTGATTCTCATTTTGAATGGTAGCTGTCTGATCCCCAATTTCTTCTGGCACTGAAATGTCTTGTTTACTGTTACCTCCAGAAACCTTTTCATTTCTGAGGGTGTCCAATTCAGAGGAAGCTTTGATTGCTGACTCTCTCTCGTTCTTACCTGTAAAGGTCTCGAATAGCTTGATCTGCCATTCCTGATGCCCAATCTGTTGTGTTTCAGAGAGCTTTTTTCTTAGCACTAAAAAGGACCCAGTTTTAGTTGAAGGTGTTTGATAAACTGGTTTCAAGTCAGATCTGGTTCCCTGCACATCCATCTCAGTTTGTGCTGAAGTTGTTCGACGGTCTGGCTTTAATTGATGGCTGGTTTCCTGTAGATCCTTCTCTGTTTGTACTGAAGCAGATTGATAACTGACTGTTTTCTGTTTTCTGTGGTCTTGTGAATCCGTCTGAATTTGGACAGAAACCTTTGAATTCTGGCTTCGTCTTCTCTCTGAGAGTAGTTTCCTCACCAGAGCCTTCTGCTGTTTAAGTTCAGCATTTAGTTTATGATTTACATCGAACATCTCATCTAGTTGCTTCATAAAGTACTTCTGTACTTTGATATGTTCCAATTCAGCCTCCTTAAATTTGGCAAGACACGCACACTTTGCTGGACTTGTTGTCTTTTCTGCTGCTTGACTAACAGGAACCTCAGTTAAATTCTGTGTTTGGGTGTCCTTGGGTTTACCCATAGATGGACATTTCTCCCCTTTTTTATCCAGTGTCTCCTGCGGTTTGAAGATGTTTATCTTTTCGGTGACCAGTTGTGCTGTAGAGATCACAGGTTCCTCTTTGCAAATCTCCTTTAAGGAATCTTCCTGATCATGATCTTCAGGCAGAGAAGTGTCCTGTTTTTTAACATCTTCATTATTAAATTTTCATTGCTAAAGACCAACATGGCTTCTATTATAATTTTTTTTAATTCGTTTGAAACCGATTATCTGTTAAAGCTGTTACTAAGATGTGAAATAATATAAATGGGTTTCCTGATGAAATCACATTTCATTGCTTACAATCCTGTCATCTGACGCTTGTCCGCTAGGGGTCAGCAGTGACCTACTCTTAACGTTTAATTGACCAGAGAAGAAGGAGAAGGTCGTTGTTCACCTTCAGAATTAGGAAAACAAGGTCGGATTAAAAACATCTTTATTTCCCTGATGGGGATGGAGCATATTTACATGTTTAGAATCAGCAAAAAAACTTTTCACTTATATTTACTTGTTAAAGGAAGCATCACTCCAACATGAAATATTGTTTATTATTCTGTACTTATCAGCCAAATGCAAGCCTTGTCTGGAGCAACATCTTATTTAATTATATGTAGCATATAGAAATAAACACAACAAGAGAAAATATATATATAGATATATATTGTATAGTATTTAACTTAAATTAGATTCATTACTCAAACATATTTTAAGTTTCATTTAACTTTTGGTGAGGCGTCAATAGATGTATACATTTATTTTTTGGGGGATTTGTAAACTGGAGAAAATGTAGGTAGATGCTAATGACTGTAAAAAAAAATGAAAATAGGAGGAACATAAAAGCTTAGGAGTGGAGAACTTTGAACATGAGAGGATGAGAGGATGTTTAAAGCCGCGATGCAACAGACAAACAACGAGATTAGTTAGTTTTTCATCCTTTTCCCAGGTTCCATACAACAAAAACAGCCCAGTACAAAAAAAAAAAAAAAAAAACCGCACAATTTGAAAGTAGAGTTGTGTCTCTACTGGAGTAAGGTCCCAATGTTTCGGGATGTTCTGGGTGGCAGCTCCTTGCTCTGGGGTTGCTTTAAGAGCAGATGTTTTTCCTCAGAATCACTGAAAACATCAGCCTGAGCTGATGATTCCTCAGGCTTATCAATAAAGTATTTTTTGAATTGAACCGAGTTACAAATACATGAGGAAGTGAAAAAGCAGTTAATCTCAATAAAACACAGAGTCTGACGTCACACTTCAGGACCGTTCTCTCCATTGGACACGTTTTCTCTTGTCTGCGAGTCTCGATGGTGGGAACTCGCTTGGCGGACTCGTCACGTCACCTTCTGACAGTCGAGACCTGGGGTAATGTCATCATAAGAACCCGTGTACCGTGCCGGTTGGGGGCCTCCGACGCCGTGGGTCACCCCGCTTCGTGCATGTGTGGCCGGGGGGTGATGCAGACGGAGGCCAGGCCCTGTGCGCTGCTGCTCCATATTGTTACAGTTCAAAGGTGGCAGTGTGCTACACCCCCACTTCTCCTAATTCCACCTGCTAATCCATCTGCAGGATTACTGTCTACTGTAATCAGTCATCCTCCATACTGACACACCTCACCTCACGGTGCAGCCCCTGAGTCATTACGCACACACACACTGATACACAAGAATACCTCGCAGAAGAAGTTTATTGTGCGTTGGTTCATACAAGGAATCCATCACAGTTCGTAGTTAAACAACTGTACCAGGTGTGAGTGGTTTTACCAACCTTTACAGACTATGAAGCACATATTCATAGACAAAAAACATGAAAGAAGAAACGTGAAAGCCAAAAACCCTTTTGATAGTGGAATTGGGTGTTCGTGGAATACTAGCTGGAATGATTTGGACAGATGCACCACTGAGGAACCTGGACTGGTTTCAATCTGCCGTCTGTGTCGGAGCGATCCATCTGGACCCAGGAATGGCATTGTGAGTTCTTTGGAAAACTCAGCCAGTCTGAAGAAGAACGTCCGCCTCAGTGTCGGCGCGGTCGCCATACGATCAGGGCAGCTAACGCTCTGACCAGGAGAAGCTCCTGAAGAACCTGTCTTATAAAACGTAGTTACAGAAAGCAGTGGAGGGAGAATAAAAACAGAAAACATGACTGAGTGGGAAAACCGTCACATGTGACAAACAGGCTCGAAGGACAAACTCAGGTGGAAAAACGCCTGAGTTTAGGTATAGGCTAGGAAAAGAAAACTCTATTTTAACAGAAAATCTGCAAAATGAAAGGAAAAATCTCTCCTTTCCACAAATTGTGTTAAAAAATGTGATCTGTTTGATGCAGTTACAACTCCAGGCTTCGGCTGGAGACAGATTTATAGCTACATCTCTATTGAGGAAAAGTCTCTTCTCAGCATGATGCTGCCACCACCATGTTTCACTGTTTGTTATTCAAATTGGTTCAAAAAGCAAAGCCTCAAATTAGAAAAAAAAAAAAGCGGTTCATTAAACATAGCTGTATTTCCTGTGTATTTCTCCAGTTCTAATTATAAATGGTTCTAATTAATTGAATGGTGTTTTGGACTGTAGCAGTTGCAGACCCCGGCGTTACACTCACGAGGGGCAAATAAATGGAAGCATTAATATAACAGTTGTGTGCTTAAATATTATTTTCAGTCAAATCCAAGTCGATTTTAATCTCTGTGCTGCCAAAATACATCGACGTGAAAATATGCTCAGTATGATTTGACTTTAAGAAGTTATCGAATGCATTGGCAGATATTTATTGATATTTTAACATGACTGAGCGTATGGTCTTGATCTTGATGTAACCCAAAATGAGTTTGACATTCATGATTTTTAGACTTTGCATACAAATGATACTGAATGCCGCTTCAGTCTTTATAGAGACGACTGAGGATTTTAAGGGAACAACAGGCTTAAATAGAAAAGAACAGTCATTTAGACGAAGTAATTCCAGACCTCAGCCTTGTTCATATGTGACGGAGAAAATGAACTGGTCCCAAATCTATATAAACTTTCCATATTTTGTTTCTCGTGCTGCATTTTTTGGTTTTGCTTTAATAAACTAAAGAATAAATCTCATCTGGTTCTGGTTCTGCTGGAGATTTCCTCCTGTTAAAGAGGAGTTTTTCCTCTCCGCTGTCGCTGCATGCATGCTTGCTGTGAGGAACTGCTATAAAGTCACTGACACAATGCAAGTGACTTATGCTACGTGTTCATCCAGTCCTGCAGGGCCACTGGCCTGCAACTTTTAGATGTGCCTCTGCTGCACCACCTGAATAGAATAATTAGGTCTTTAAGGCTCTGTGAACTGATCTTCACAAGAAGGAGGAGATTGAGCCAATTCATTCCAGTGTTCGGAACTTGTGGCACATCTGAAAACTGTAGGACAGCGGCCATCGAGGACTGGAGTTTGACACCCCTGATCCAGGAGGAGAGAACGCTCCACGCAACCTGCTGGGCTTCCGTAGACAGAAAACTTTTTAAAGTACTTTGAGTCATTAACTGAGCTCACTTTTCTGATTGAGAATGAATGGGCAGCTCGGTGGACTGGGCTGATGTAGTGAGGATAACTCTCCGTCTCTGAGGTGGACTGGGCCGGGCGTTTCAGTGTCGGCTGCCGCTTCAGCTTCTCCCCTCGTGGGAGCAGATCACTTGATGGAGGGGAATCTACAGGTCATGTGGAGATTTCTGATGACTCATCAGATTAGACATGCAATGGGACATATTCATCATCATCATCATCATCCACTTCATCTCACTGTGACTCTCAGGTCTGTCTTGAGTTAAAAAGCTGGTTGCTGCAGTAGGTCTGACTGGTGCGGCTGGATGGGGAGCTGGGGGGACTGGCAGGCTGTGGGTGGCACCTGGCTGGTACAGAAGAGATTATTGAAGTGTGTGTGTGTGTGTGTGTGTGTGTGTGTGTATGTGTGTGTGTGTGTGTGTGGTGTGTGTGTGTGTGTGTGTGTGTGTGTGTGTGTGTGTGTGTGTGTGTGTGTGTGTGTGTGCGTGTGTGAGTGATTGGGGCTGACAGCAGCCTCTGTATTGCTGGCTGGCCTGCAGATTTAGCCGACCTGTTTTAGACGCTCTAATCTGGATTAACTGCAGCAGTGTGTCAGTGGGGACGAGGGCCAGAGTCCCCCCTCCCTACACACACACACACACACACACACACACACACACACACACACACACACACACACACACACACACACACACACACACACACACACACACACACTCCCCACCCCTACCATACTCTGCTTTTCCTCCATCTCTCCCTCCTCTCCTGGTGCCGCCCGGTTCTGGACGTTTTCAGCCCCTCAGTTTGGTCTGAAAAACTGAATCGTTCGGTCGCATCACCCTGATTGTGTCCGTTTGAGTCCAGCTTCCTGGGGGGAAGGGATTAAATCCACTCTGTCCCCTCGACTGCTTCCCCGTTTGCTGTTAGGATCTATCAAGCAGATTTCACTGGTATAGTCAAAGTGCGCAGGGTAATTTTTTTTATCACATTGAAATGAGTCAGAAAGTTTCAGCTCTTTGAATCCCATTGCAACAGGTTTGCTGCAAACCTGTTCTCACATTTTAAATAAATGCTATCTTAAAACAGTACATGCTAGAGGTGGGCAGATCCTTCCAAAAATATTAACAATATTTATACCAAGTCAATATCAATATCAGATCAATACCAGCATGATAACATTCCATCTGGAATTTTTGTATTTTACTTTCTCAACTCTCTCTCATTTTTTGTTGTAGTTTTTATTTGCTTTGGAACAATAATATTTTGAACTTTGTTCATTTAGAAAAATTGTGCACAAATCACGTTAATATGGTATTAAATTTTTTTTGTAGACACCTGTAAACTTTATCTAAACATTGCAAGTTGGAACAAAGTAATTAAGGGAAAACACACCTGGAGGTCAGAACTTAAACAGAAAGTATTGGTATCAGTACCGATACTGATACCGATGTATTCACTTGATGTCAGATCATTTCCAAAACACGCAGTATCGCACACATCTGGTTCGTGAACATGCATGGATCTCGCGCACACACACACACGCAGTAAACTTACATGAATGCCATATTTTCTCACTCTTGAGCTGTTCGTTATCCTGTCCCGTTTCATTTCCTCACCCTGAATCCTTTGTACACATCTCCTCCCATCCTCGCATCCTTTTCTTCTCGTCAGGTTTTCTCTCCGGTTCCTCCCGTTCGTTCTCCACTGCGACCCGTCCGTTATCCCGGTGCTGCCGTCGTCCCAACTGAACGGATTGCTCCGTCTTTCCTCTCTATTATCTGGAGATAAGATACTTAGTTTTCAGATAAAGCATATTATGATAAATCAAATGGGCTTTATCACTTTGGTGCATCTGGGTGTTTGTGCGTGTGTGTGTAGGTGTGTGTGCGTATGTGTGTGTGTGTGGAGGGCGGGAATTTAGCACGTCCAGCTGTTTTGGAGATCCATATTGGTGGTGAGGTGTGTGTGAAGTTTACTGGATCATTATTTATGCAGATGTACAAATAAAATCATTCATGTCGACCCCCGAATTATTGATGTAAGCCGAAATTCATTTGAACTTCTAAGGATGTATTTGTGACACGTCAAGCATCCCACATTCTGCTAAAGATGAAAGCTTTGATATAAGTTCCGATTTTATTGCAGCATCGTCTGAAACATTTAGGAAACATTTATGTTAAGGACATTTACTGTAGGTAGTAGAAAAAAAACCCTCATGAACTAGGAGAGGGCAATATTTACTCAAAATGTTATTATAGTATTTAGCAATAAATGTGACCATAAGAACATTTATTCCCACAAAAACAAATAGAGTTCTTGAAAAACATATCCATTTCTAATATGGTTCTTTAGGGCCCAAGTCACATAAAGAAGTATTAAAGATGCTCTCATTGAACAAAACAGTGGAGAAAACTGTAAAAAAATAAAATAAAATAACAGAGTTTTAGAGTATTTTCTAAATGCGATTAGGAAATTATTGTGGAATTTATTCCTATCACGACACGAAGCATATTATGATAAATGATAAACGATACGATAACTGTTCATCCCTATCAGGAGCAAAAAAAATTATTAGCAGGATTTCTGGATTTTACAGTTAATACTTTGCACAACCCTCTTTTGCACTTTGTCCTGATCACAACCAGTTTTCCTGGTTGCTCTGGAGAACTGGTGGTCCCCAGGTGCCTCCCTTTGCTGCAGATCTCTGAAAGTTTTGGAGATTTTCTTTTACCACCCTCGCCATCCTGTTTACTATTCATGGTGTCAATATGAGCATCACATCCCAGGGAAACAGGAAGTTGCACTTTGCTAATAAAAGGTTTTTTTAGAAGCAACTTTAAAAAGACAAACTAAGAAAATTAAAAATCCAAACTTCTATTCTATGATGCAATAGGATTCATTTAAATTTAAAATACTTTTTTTAACCTTATTGCGAAATATGCCGGCAAATGTAACCCTGCAGCTCTGTATCGAAGCGGTTAATCGATTATTCATATCAAATCTGAGTCTGAATCTGACTCTTGGGTTCCGGGGACTTAAAAACACTTGATCCAGTTCTGCAGCCTGTGTGCCACCGTGTGTGCGTGTAGTGTGGGAGGGGTTTGCTTCTGCTGCTGTCACTTGCTCCCTCTAATTAGCAGCGCGTCCTGGAGAAGAACCTCAGAGCCGCAACGCGTCCGAGGCGCAGAGGGATCCCAGGGGCCACTTCAGCTGCGCGGTGCCTGTCAGTCCGGATGCTCTGCGCGCCCCTTCGTCCTCCGCCGCTGAGCCCACCCTCGGCTCAAAGAGCGCTTTAAAAAAAACAAAAAAAGAAAAACAGAAATCCCTGTTCACGTTTCCCCTGCGCGTTCCCGCGTCGCTCCGCGCGCGGATCCCGGCAGACGCGCCGACCGGGTTGGTGCCGCTGCGCTCCGAGGGTCCCACAGCTGCCGCGCTGCGCGTCCGACCTCCAAGTCAGTGACAGGGCTTGGGAAAGCTGCCGGAAGGATGATGTCCTACATAAAACAACCTCATTACACCATGAACGGGCTGAACCTGCCCGGTCCCGGGATGGACGTGCTCCACACCACGGTCGCTTATCCCCGTGAGTACGACCTGGAAGTTTTATTTTGTCAAAACATTTCATAATGTCTAGGGGGGAAAAAAAGACTATTTGTCCGTATTACTTTGTGTTAAACGCGCTACAAGTGATGCGTAAAAGCGCGCAGGTTGGCGCGTAACGCTTCAGCCGAAACGAGGATGAAAAGCAGAAAAGAAACAGTTGCTTTTTTGTTTGTGTTGGCGGAAGGTTTATTACTGTATTTGGAAAAACACGGAGTTCGGAATACTAAACATCCTTTCACCGGTGAGTTTGGCGGCTTGGGATTTTTAGGAGTCTACAGTGTGGAAAACGGGCTGATTTTAAAATACAAATCCTCTGACGTTTGACGTAGTCCTCTCATAAAATGTGGACAATTTGGAAACACTTAGATAAAAGTATCTAACCTGATGCGTTTGTCCTGGTAAATGGCATTTTTGTCACTATTAGCCTACATGTCTTTGTCGCACTGAGTGACAAAGACAAACTAACGCGATTAAAAACCATTTAAAAAAATTTAATGGTTTGTTGCGTTATGATGCCATTCGATCCCACATCTCTCCTCATGTGATGTTAACACGTTTTCGTGTGCGTCTCCCGTTTTCGGCAGCCACCCCGCGGAAGCAGCGCCGAGAGCGCACCACCTTCACTCGGACACAGCTGGACATCCTGGAGGCGCTGTTCTCCAAGACCCGGTACCCGGACATCTTCATGCGGGAGGAGGTGGCCCTGAAGATCAACCTGCCCGAGTCCCGGGTGCAGGTACGCGCAGCTCCGCTTTCTGCTCTCTGTTCCCAGTCAGAACTTGTCTCTAATATGTCTCTCTCTCTCTTTCTTTTTCTGTCTCCAGGTGTGGTTTAAGAACCGTCGTGCCAAATGCCGCCAGCAGCAGCAGCAGAGCAGTGGTCAGTCCAAGCCCCGGCCTCCCAAGAAAAAGGCCTCCCCAGCGCAGGAGCCCAGCGCTCCCGACCCAGTCCCCAACCCGTCTGGTTCCTACAGCCCCTCCTCGGCTCAGTCCGCCGGGCCCAGCCTGGCCCCCAGCTCCAGCACAGGAAACACAGCCGTGTCCATCTGGAGCCCGGCCATCTCCCCGCTGCCCGACCCGTTGGCCTCCTCCGCCCCTTGCATGCAGCGGCCCTCGCCCTACCCCATGAGCTACGGCCAGCCCTCGGCCTACACCCAGGGCTACGCCAGCACCACCTCCTACTTCACGGGCCTGGACTGCAGCGCCTACCTGTCCCCCATGCACTCGCAGCTGTCGGGCACAGGGGGCGCGCTGAGCCCCATCACCGTGCCCTCCATGGGGGGCTCTCTGAGCCAGTCCCCGGCCTCACTGTCCTCGCAGGGTTACAGCACCGCCTCCTCCCTGGGCTTCACCTCCGTGGACTGCCTGGACTACAAGGACCAGCAGGCCTGGAAACTGGGCTTCACTACCATGGACTGCCTGGACCACAAGGACCAGAACTCCTGGAAGTTCCAGGTCCTCTAGGAGGCGAGGAGGGGCGTCCCTTCATGAGTGTGTGAGTGTGTGGGCGCGTGTGCGTGTGTGTGACTTAGCAGGTTTCTGCTGTTTCCTGTTTGTTAGGCTGTTTGTATCTTTATTTTAATTTTTTTGTCTGGGTGTGAGTGTTGTAGGGAGGGACAGAACTGGAAGGCCTGCTGGAGAAAACAGTGTCTTTAGTCAGCGGCTTCTTCAAAGTCACTGTAACACAGACTGCTACAGGAGATTCCTCCTGCCAACAGCCATCAACATCTGCAGTAACAGAAGAATTTGAATGAATATGATTCACATTTAATTTCCCTTTGGGGTCAATTAAGTATTTTTGAATGGAGTCCAACAGTCTGTCCTCTTCACGCTCATATAAAACCTGCAGCCTTTCAGATGCTCGCAGGGTCAAAGGTCACATGCACGTAACACTCACTGTGTTTTAAACTCACATTGTGATGAAGGAACTGTAGGCTGCACCTCCTTTAAGGTTTTTCTCAACTACTTATTATTACTATTATCATCACTTTATGCTACGTTTAGCTCTGTCCTTTGCTTTTATCCATTTTTGGGGCATTTATGTTTATCAGTGTTGGTGTGTAGCGTTTCAGTCTGTTCCATAGGATGAAAAAACATGTTCTGTTTTAGCTGTGTCGATGTATTAAAGTGGTTTATTCTTTACGCGTGTGTGTGTGTGTGTGTGTGTGTGTGTGTGTGTGTGTGTGTGTGTGTGTGTGTGTGTGTGCGCGCTGGAGCTCATTGAGGTGAGTTGTATAGTTGGAAGCCTTGTTTCTCAGGTCACGGGGTCAAGCTGCAGGTGGACCTGTCCGGTCTGCAGACGACGTTGGGTTGGCGGTTCGGCCTCCACCTCGCTCTGCTCCGTCTTGGTTATTTTAGGTGATCTGATTCTGGGAGTGTCCCAATCCTCTTAGCCTCCCTTCAGCAATGCCCTAAGTGAATTAGTTGGGATTATTGCCCTATCCCCCTCTGTCTCTCACCCACCTCAACCTTTTCCCCCTCCTCCACCTGCGGCTCGCTCCTTTTATCTCCCCACCTCTTCTGTTGAACTTTTTTCCATTCTGGGCTCTTGGCTTTTCCGCCGTGGAAAATGTGCGAAAGGTCAGCGGCGGAGTTAAACTTGGGCGTGTCTCCGTCGGGGTGCTCTGAGGTTCCCCACGTCCCCCGTCCTCCACGACGCTCCGCGGCTCTTTGGACGAGTTGGTAATCCGCCGGTGACCTGAATACCACATAAACAGAGCTATGGTGACATCGAATATGCCGAAGGATTTTGGAGTAGTGCACGTTTTAGTCCACAGCCGTGGATCGATTTGTGTTTTTAAATTTAAAGCCAGTCTCCGTTGACAAAATCAGTGAACGGATTTGATTGGGACTGTGGAAGATCAGGACTACAGTAGAAACGAATTTACTTATTACACATGGAGAAATGCAGCTTCTTGTAGTTCTGCTGAACTGTCAGAAATCTGATGCGTGATGGCAGAAGTGAGTGTTTAACAAAGTACATTTCAAAGCACTTTTCTGACCTAATCCCACTCTGTGCTCTGTTTAATCCCTTCTGCCCTCCCTCTCTGTGGCACGATTGGTTAATCCCTGCGTCTGCCTGTTCCGATTGGTCAACCCCCTCTGCCCCCCCTTCGGAGAGGCCAGTACAGCCATAATCTCCCCTCTCAGCACTGGGTGTTTCAGACAAACTGTAATCCCAGGGAGGAGCAGATGTGATGGGGGATGGGGCGCGGCCGGCAGACCTTGATGAAGGTGATGTGTTTGTTACATGCAGAAGGAAATCAGGGACGTTTCCATATCCTTTCACAGAGTCAGATTCTCATGAGTTGGGAGTATTTTACCAGCAGGTGAAGGGGAAAAAGTGTGACTGAGCAATTTTTAACTGACAAGTACTAAAGTTTTACACACACACACACACACGTTTGTATTTCTACCCAGAAAAGGAATTTGTATTGACTTCCTTTTACTTTAGGAACTGAATGGTTTCCTTAAGGTTTTACCAACGTAAATGATGAAAGAGTCGCATACATGCTGCTGTGTTCATGAAAGAGCGTCATACAGAAATAAAGGCCTTCGGATCAGATCAAGATATATCTCTTTAACTTACATGCCAAACAACAAATGTGGCAAATCCCTCTAACTGCACTAACGCCAATCTGAAACACGGCGGTGGCAGCGCTGTACTGGGG